CTGCCCGTGGCCATCCATTCTCCGTTGAGGTCTAAGGACTTCTAAATATGAATAGGTACAAAGAAGCCCACCTATTCCTCCAGCTCAGTATTTACAGAGGTAAACCATGCCTATTACATTTAATAGTGAAAGATCCACTTTATTTATTTTGAATCTGACTCTTAATGGACAACCCTAAGATGATAATAAGAAACCAACTACCAACAGCAAAACAATGATCCATTTCTTGAACTAAGGATACTAGGGTCCTCACCATGTTTACAAATCATCAGCTTTAAAGTGGTAAGTGGTTATCAATTCTGAAATTAATGATACATACATATGTATATACATGTAGGGTGTGTATGTGTGTGTTTGTGTGTGAATCAGGAAAACTGATGGTACCTAAAATAAACACATACCTGCTAATACTATTTATAGGAAAGGAGACATGACAGGAAAAAAAAAAAAAGTAAAGAATAATATTATGGGGCTTCCCTGGTGGCGCAGTGGTTGAGAGTCCGCTTGCCGATGCAGGGGACACGGGTTCGTGCCCCGGTCCGGGAAGATCCCACATGCCACGGAGCAGCTGGGCCCGTGAGCCATGGCCGCTGAGCCTGCGCGTCCAGAGCCTATGCTCCGCAACGGGAGAGGCCACAACAGTGAGAGGCCCGGGAACCGCAAAAAAAAAAAAAAAAAAAAAAAATTTCCTATTCATTATGGATGTTATAATTTTTTAAGTGTAATGAAAATAAATTACTAGAAAGTAAAATGGAAAAAAAGATACACAAAATACAAATCCAAAAGTTTTGTTATCAGTCAACAGACATAAAGTTACTCTGTCAATTGCTATAAACTTTTCTAAAGATTTATCCTCACTTTCTGTACTTATCATGGATTGGTAACAGGTAACTAACTGGTAACTGCTAACGTATCAAGTACACACGTTACCTATCACATTAGAAAAAATTCAGAATGTGTTTTTTAAATACACAGCAGAACATAATAATAGCTCAAATTCAATTTTTGAGACTTCAAATATAATAATAAAGTAAACAAGATAATTTAAAGCTTAAAAACCTACTGTATGACATTAAGAACAAAATTCTTTTCTTGGGTTTAAGCAAATGCTAGACATGAACGACCAAGTCAAGTTCATTACTATTTTTAACGAAATTGATGGTCATATGACTATAATAGAAAGTAACAGTCATATGACAATTGTCTACTGAGCTCACCATTCATCCCTGTGGAAAATGCAAACTCCCAGCAGAAAGCATTACTAACTCTGGGAAAACTCCAAGACAATGAAACAGAAAGGCCCAAGACGATTTCTTAAAGAAGGACATTTAAATTTCCTCTTGATTTTTATAAGGTTAGGAACCCATGAAAGTGGATTTTGTGATGAAAATATTTTCATTTATTCTTTTAATAAGTATTTATTAAATGCTTTTTGTGGGTGTGTGTTAAGTGTCACAGGACAAAGAGTTTATCATTTAAAAAAAGATATGCTGTGCATATATATAATATGACCACCGCGTAGGAATGCGCAAGAGCTATACAAAGTACTGGCTATGTACGATTTGATTTGTGATGCTACTGGTTATTCTGCAGTGTCTCGAAAAGTACAAAAGTTTGATCCCAGGGTGGCAAATACATTTTCTTCTAGGTGTTGTACAGCAATGAGTGGTAATACTAATTAAAGTAACCTTTATCTTCTGTAACTTTTACAGGGAAAATGATGAAAGATTACAGTGTACTGCAACTTGTTCTCCCAAATAATTGCACTAAAAGATGCCATTTATTACAGTTGTACAATAAATATCAATGAATTTTTTCTGTCACTCTCTTTTTCTCCTGCAATGTATTCTTCAATGAAACATGTTTTCTATTTTCATTCCTGTGCCAAGAAGCAGATAATAATCAGATACCATTTTTAAACACTTCTCCATGTGTTAGGCACTTAAAATATTATTTCAATTAATTTTTGGAACATCCCTATGAGGAGAGTATTATTATCTCCATTTTGTCAAGGTGGAAAATCTACAGTTTGGAAAACAGCTAGCAAATGGTTTGAGATTGGAATCCAACTCATTGGATTCCTGCCTGGGTCCTTAAGTATCACTCCAACTCAGGGCTGCCTCAGAGAAGCCCCTGCATTCATTTTGTTGGCAGTCAAGTTAACAAGTCCTGCAGGCACCAGCTATGATATTTCCACACTTACATGACTTTAACAAGAAAACTCAATCACTCAAAAGAGCAATGACTCTCTGTTATCAGCGATAATTTAAAAAAGATAGAAATACTTCCTGACCATGTGAAGTTTAACTCTACCAACCTTCATACACAGCAATTCTCCATCTATCTACCTTATGTACTGCTAGAAATTCTTCTATTTGCAGAACAAACGAAAAGTCCTTTTACAAGGTGATAACTGTGTAGTTCAAACCGGAAATGCAAAAGGTGGTAGGAAAGAGGGCTGGGGATACCAGAAACCAGTGTGAATGAGGGACAACATTATATGTGAAAGACACAGGGAGGTGAAGGTGAGGATGAAAGTGCTGAATCGCACATCTGGGGGTGCAGGAGAAAGGTAAATAAGGCCACTCAGTATCTCGGCCTCTGGTTCAAACGTGGCCACCAGTATGTCTTGTAGACTGAAAAGGGCGAACCCCTCTTCTGTGGGCCAGTCATTTATTTAATCCATGAATCAGAGATCAAAACTCATGCTATTACATAGCACCTTAGTGAAAAATGAAAAGGCTCTGAATTGAAAGTTTGCATATGTCCCCACTCAAATTAATTTCACTATTTTTCGTTTTAACAAAGGCCAAGGACAGAATCAGGTCAAAGGTAAAATACATGGGTTTTCTTCCAAAAAATATAAACTGTGAATGAGGACTTTTCTTTGTAAATGAGTGTGGTGGTCTTCAAATTAGATTCATATTTCTCAAGATTTGCTTGCACTTGTTTTACATGTATCCACATTCTCTCTAGCTGTGCTTTTCCCCCCTCCCTCTCTTATTCTTACTTTAACCATCTTCCACTCTCTGCATCCCTGGGCTTGAGAAAACCAAGTACACGATTTTGTTATTAATCAGGTAGGCTAATAACTAGCAGCCGCTAACTGCAAACCGACAGATAAGGTAGTAGTTGTAAAATTTAAATCCAGTGCTGAAGCATGTTTGTTTATTGTGTTATAAATAGCGACCCCAGAAATCCGGGAGTGAAAAAAATATACTTCAAGATGCAAAAGGTCTGTAAGACTGAAGGAAAAATTCCTTTCTTTCTTCTTTTCCCTTATCCATTTGTAAACTTCATGATTAAAAAAAGAAATGAGGTATGGAAGGAAGGGAACATGACTATTTGCATATGTAAAAAAACACAAAACTAATGTACTTGAAGGGCTGTCGGACGTCCCATGGAGAGAACAAAGGCACATAATTAGGAAGATCCTTGAACACACATATCTGTACCTATTATTCCTCAAAGCAATTGTGTAAAATTCAATGTCTGCCCTTTCAGTACAATTGGATATCTTTGCTAATGTAGATTAGCATACTGTAAATAGTGCCAAATACAGTGTTATTCAAAAAGTATCCGTTAAGGATTTTTGGACAATGCAAACATGGTTTAAGATGTTCAAGAACGGAAACCAGCACCAGTGCTTTCCACTGGCCATGCTGAATGTTTCAGTGTCTGTTGGAAAAAAACACTAAGACTAGAGTTTAAGGTCAGTGTGTATACCTATTTGCTCATAAAACATTAATTGCATAAATGTTAAGGACCAGTAGCCAATAACAAAGGCCTAATTCCTTAGACATATGTATTCTAGCCACTTATCCAAAAAAAAATCAGTTGATTCATCTATTTCATAATATAATATTTTAAATGAAAAGGAACAACTTACTCTTTAACTTATTTTAGCACTGAGGTGAACGTCACGCAGTTTTGTGAAAATAGTTATTTAAATTTTGATTGAGTTAGAATCAGTCTTAATGCAAAAGTTTTCCTGTCCATTTTTGGGGGGAGAAGAGAGCTTCTCTGCTAACAGGCCTGACCATTCTTCCTTTGCTAGATTACAATACAGAAATCTCCATCCGTGAACGAGACTTTCTGGTTTGCCTTTGAACATTTCATTATCCTTTTGTGAAATTTAAGAAGGCTGAACATTTTTATACCCACTTAGGAGGAGCTATATCTTCTCATTAAAAAAATAAAATTTGCCTTTGTTCTAAAATCCACATTTTACAAGAGGAATGTTTTCATCACTGCTCCTGGTGGAGAAAGGGAAGTGTGTGAGTGTGAGTGTGTATGTGTATGTCTGTGTGTTGAGGGAAGTGTCCCCTAATTCCCATTGAGATGGCTCCCACGAAGTCAGTCAGCGTTTCCGGAGTACCTCAGGGCCCCATGGCAGTAACACAGGAGCTCTAGGATATATGATACAAATCCATTTGTGTCAGATGATGTTATACATATGTAAATCAACTCGATGTCTCACACACAAAAAAATCCCACTTAGGATGAGAATTGGGGCTGATCCTTGAAAAGGAGGGAGGCGCCGTGTGTCTCACCATTTCTTAAAATTATAGCCGCCAGTGTAGGTATTGGGTACCCTGCACGACCACCGTATCCTGCATTAGAGAAAGGCTCCTTTCAAAGTCCTTAAGGAAACCTGACTATCAAATGACCTGAGTCAAAGCTTCAGCTAGAAAAGAAACAAAACTTTGTCCTCCTCTCCTTCAAGTCCCGCTTCATCTTCCCTCCCTCTCTGCTAGTGAACAGCAGAGGATTACCTCCGAGAAAGTTGCTCAAGAGCCTGTCACAGCCTGTGTTTGAAAAGAAAAGAAAGCCGAGGAATAAGGATCCAAGAAAAGTGCAGGGACGTACCCAGGGCACTTAGTGGAAGTTACTGAAAATAGTGCAGTTTTGTAACGGGCGCCTGGCAAGGTGGGTGTGACAGGTGGAGGCGCAGGGGTCCCAACCCAAGAAGGACCTGCCTGGCCCCAGCCGCTACTCACGCTTCTCGGCCGTCCTCCGAGTCGCTGTCCGAGGCCCACTCCTCGCCGAGGTCCCGCAGGGTGAAGAACAGGGTCTTGGCGCCAGGCCCGGGGGGCAACCTAGCGCCGGGCTCTCGCTCCCCGGGGCCAGGCGGGCGAGGGTTCCGTGCGCTCGCGGTCACACTGCCGCCGCCCGCGGAGCCCCCGATGGACGGCAGCGCCGCCCAGACCCCGCCAGGGCCCGGGGGCGGCCGCGCCACGGCCACCAGGGGGGCTGGGGAGCCGGATGCGCCGCGGACGCCGCTGGAGGGGGCCGCGGGCAGGGGCGGGGGCGGGGGCGAGGACCGGACTTTGGCTGCTCTCGGGCTACTGGGCAGCCAGAGGGGGGTCCCTCCCGCTTCTGCCGTGCGGCTCGCGACCGAGACCCGGGGGTGGGAGGCGGCGAGCAGAGGACGGAGCGGGGCGGGTGTCGGCTGCTGCAGGGCTGGCGCCCCCGGCGAACCGGAGCGGGAGTCGGGCGCCAGGGCTGGAAAGAGGGTCAAGGGCGGGGCCGTGCCAAGCCAGGTGCCCGTTCCTATGCCCGCCGGCCCTGCGGTGGCTGCCCCTCGCGAGTGGCTGGAGGAGGCGACCGGCGAGGGAACCGCCGCGGGCGCCGTCGAGGTCTTGAAGATTTTGGCAAAGAGAGACCCAAGGTCCAACACAGCGACCTTCATGTCCTGGCCTTGGAAATGCTGTCCTGGCTGCTGCCCGAACCTCAAGCCCGCGGGGAGCCGGGCTGCGGGGCTCCATCCACCGCCGCCCGCAGGGATCGCGACGAGGCGGCCCGGGGCGGGGACGGGGGTCGTGGGGTCCTCTCAAGCCGCGCACCCCGGGAGCCTCTGGTGCTCTCTCCACGCGGATGATTCCCCGCCGGGCGCTCGGTCCCGCTCTGCCGGACCTTCCCCGACGCGGGGAGCAGTCCCTTCTCTGCCCTAGTGCTGCGAGACGCCGAGGGCCAGGGGTCCGGGAGCCCACGGAGGCCACTTCTGCAGCTGCCAGCGCCACCGCGAGCTGAGGATAGAGGCCCGGGCCTCCGCCCGCCGCAGATACCCCGACGGGCCCCTGGGACCGCGCAGGCGGTTGCTAAGCGAAACAAAAACCCTGCTTAGCTCACTGCTAATTGGGCCCCAGACTGCAGCCTGGGGCTGCGTCTACAACGGACACCCTGGCTCCCCTCCTTGATCCGTGCCTTAAAGGAACACTCTCCAATTTCTCCATCACCCTTAGAGCTTCACCAGATTCGCAGAACTCTGGGCTGATGGTGAGGAATTTGACCATAAACCTGGGAAAGATAACCCTGATTCCAAAAGATCTGGGACTCACCCAATCTGACAAGACGAAAGGAACCATGGCCAGCTCTCTGATAGGAGGGAAGGTTAATAAAAACATGTATTCAGATCATTTCTGGAGTATGAGCTTTCAGGTTTAAGCTGCTAATCATCTGATTGATTCTGAACATATGTAATTTAACTTGAAGGGACAGGCAGCAAAAAGGGTCATTGCTGAGTGAAGCTTGGTTCAACTCACCCAGTTCCTTGGGAGCAGCCCTTGTCTGCTGCCATGTCTCAGGGTGCCTGATTTTACAGGCCCAGGACCTTCATAGCTGACAAGCCTCACTAACATGACTCAAAAATACTGATGCATGGGCTTCCCTGGTGGCGCAGTGCTTGAGAGTCCGCCTGCCGATGCAGGAGACGCGGGTTCGTGCCCCGTTTCGGGAAGATCCCACGTGCCGCGGAGCGGCTGGGCCCGTGAGCCATGGCCGCTGAGCCTGCGCGTCCGGAGCCTGTGCTCCGCAAATGGGAGAGGCCACGACAGTGAGAGGCCCGCATAACGCAAGGAAAAAAAAAAAAAAAAAAAAAATACTGATGCATAAGCCCCAACTCAAATGTGTTAACTAATAACTGCAGTGTTGTCCTCTGCTCTTTCCCGAGGGGAGGAATTCCTGTTGAGGTCAAATTAAGTTGGAAGGTTGTTAGGTGAGCACAGAATCAAAGCAAGGGGAGTGAGTCAGATATATGATATATATTCCATATACAGAGGGCTGCAACCATAGGAGCAAATCACTCTCATCCACCTTGAAAGAGCAGCCCTACATGAACAGTGCGGGTTCAGCCCCTGTCTTCAGCTCTCTAACTTTAGATATTTCTATGCTTTCATTACTAACCACTTCCCTCTATGCACACGAGTTTCTTTAAGTAGGCAAATACTGTCAATAAGGCTACAGAAAAGCTCCTCCTCTTGCAAATCCCAGCCTTGAAAGCAGTCTGTCTCTGAGGTGTGTTTGCATGTATCCTATCTGTTATGGGCTGAATTGTGTTCCCCATAAAGATATGATGAAATCCTAACTCACAGTCTGTATGAATGTAACCTTATTTGGAAATAGGATCTTTACAGATAAAATCAACATAAGACAGGGTCATTAGCATGGGCCCTAATCCAATACCCTTAAGAAGAGAGAAATTTGAATGCAAACACGCAGGGAGAACACCACGTAATGACAGAGGCAGAGGTTGGAGTGATGCAGCTGTAGGCCGAGGCATGTCAATCTTTGAACGCCACTGCCGGAAGTTAGGAAGAGGTAAAGAAGAGCCTTCCCTACAGGTTTCTGAGGGAGCGTGGCTCTGCGGGCATCTGATATCGGACTTACAGTTTCCAGAACTATGACAAATACATTTCTGTTGTTTTAAGCCACCCAGTTTGCGACAATTTGTTATAGCAGCCCTAGAAAACAAATACACTATTGGGGTAGTAATTAATATTTGGGGTGCTTCATGATCATAGAATCTTCCTGGTACCTCTGTGAAAATCTTCAGTGGGTATATTTGGCTCTAAAAAGCTGGGTACAAATTAAAATAATTAGCATAATTGTCTAAAAATATCTGCAGGGAGGGGACCTCCCTGGGCTGTCCAGGGGTTAAGACTCCATGCTTCCACCGGTCAGAATGGCCATATCAAAAAATCTACAAACAATAAATGCTGGAGAGGGTGTGGAGAAAAGGGAACCCTCTTGCACTGTTGGTGGGAATGTAAACTGATACAGCCACTATGGAGAACAGTATGGAGGTTCCTTAAAAAAATAAAAATAGAACTACCATATGACCCAGCAATCCCACTACTGGACATATACCCTGAGAAAACCATCATTCAAAAAGAGTCATGCACCACAATGTTCATTGCAGTTCTATTTACAATAGCCAGGACATGGAAGCAACCTAAGTGTCCATCGACAGATGAATGGATAAAGAAGATGTGGCACATATATTCAATGGAATATTACTCAGCCATAAAAAGAAACGAAATTGAGTTATTTGTAGTGAGGTGGATGGACTTAGAGTCTGTCATACAGAGTGAAGTAAGTCAGAAAGAGAAAAACAAATACCGTATGCTAACACATATATATGGAATCTAAAAAAAAAAAAAAAAGTGGTTCTGAAGAGCCTAGGGGCAGTACAGGAATAAAGATGCAGACGCAGAGAATGGACTTGAGGACACAGGGAGGGGGAGGGGTCAGCTGGGACGAAGTGAGAGAGTGGCATGGACATATATACACTACCAAATGTAAAATAGATAGCTAGTGGGAAACAGCCGCATAGCACAGGGAGATCAGCTTGGTGCTTTGTGACCACCTAGAGGGGTGGGATAGGGAAGGTGGGAGGGAGAAGCAAGAAGGAGGGGAAATGGGGATATATGTATACATATAGCTGACTCACTTTGTTATACAGCAGCAACTAACACACCATTGTAAAGCAATTATACCCCAATAAAGATGTTAAAAAAAAAAAAGACTCCGTGCTTCCACTGAAGGGGGTAAGGGTTAGATTCCTGGTTGGAGAACTAAGATCCCGCATGCCACGCTGTGCGGCAGAAAAAAAAAAATCTACAGGGAGGATGACAGAAAATGTAAAAAGGACAGGGAAAAATATCATTGTGGGTTAAACAGTGGATGTAAACTTCTGGCCAGCCAGCTTCATGAAGAATGCACAACGGATGAATGATTGATCCTTTTGTTTGAGGGTCCTTTGAAAATGACCGATAATTGCAAACATGATAAACAATTCTTCACAAGATGCTAGGTCTTTTATACCCATTGTTCATCCATCAGCAGGCTTTCAGACAGATGTTAGATGCTACCAGGCTTTTCTGTTAATTACCTGTAGCATGCCATTCTCAAAACATGAGCCCCAGGTGATGTACCACGGTGGTCTGGCTCAGGCAGAGTAAGGAAATGAAAGTAAATGCAGTAAATCATTGTTTCTAACTTTGGCAGAGTGTTGATTTTAGACGGACTTTATTAGAAACGTCACAGCCATGTTTTATGTGATAAAACTCTTATGCTTACATTGATCAATTAACAATTTAATGAACTGGTTTTCTGATGTGTATAATAATGCTTGGCTACATCATTGAGAAAGTATTAGGAAGTGATGGCCATGTTGCTATGAAGAAATGTTATGTTTTGAAAACCTGAAAGTTAAAACAAATAACCTGAGGAATTAATCTGTTTAGGGATTTAAATTGTCTCACTGAGCATGACACCAAGGCCAATATTCTATAAAGAAAAGTACTATCAAATTTTATTATTAAAATAAAACACTAAACTTCTGGACAAGGAGAGGTATTTGCTGATTCAACAAATATTTACTAAGCACCTTGACGAAGACGGTACGGTATGGGAGCCTCTGGAGCTGGACTTCCTAGGTTCATATTATCTCTGCTACTGGCCAACAACCAAGTCTCTCTGTGTTCCTTAGTTTCCTCACCTGTAATCCAGGGGTGATAACGGTTCCTATCTCAAATAAAATGGGACTTTGATAGTTACATTAATTGATACATGCTTGGGAACTGGAACAGAGCCTAGCACAGGGTAAGCTCTCAGTAGATGTTAGTTTTCATCACATGTGACACCAGGTTACATCGAAAGGATGTTCTTTATCACAGCACAAATGAAGCCCAGGACTCAGGCAGCAGCCACCTGAAGCTGTGCCCTGACCCTTCCTGGGCTGCGTCGCCCTCCAGCCGAGCACAGGAAATCCGTGCGTGCAGTAGGGCTGCTGAGCTCAATGGCATTAGGCCTCATCAGCAGATCTCTGTCCACTTCAAGGGTCTGCACGTCCAAGTTTGTGCTTAAAGGGAACTTGGAGGTACACAGCAGCCTTGTGCTTGAGAGTTTGATTCAGAATAAAGCATCAGTTTTAGCACATAATAACTGGTGTGCAAGACTTATGAAACAGAACAGGACCCTGTGAGGTCCTCCTGGGTACAAATCCTTCCATGTCCCCTGTTTCTTGTTTGTAGGAAAAGGTTTCTTCAGCCTTCTAGACCTTCCCTGGGTTCCAAAAGGCTGATTCAAACAGTTACTAATGGGGGAAATGAGGGAGTGCAGAAACAAAGGAGGAACAATCAAGAAACAATAGTGCAGCCATTAAAGCAGGGTCCTGGCTCCTCCTCAAGGGATACACATAACAATATCTTTGAGTTCTTCTGCAGGAACTAAGGCCCCCATCCACGTGGAGGATGGTAACTTCTGGCTGAGTCTTGGAACACCTCCCTGTTATCTCACCACCAACCAATCAGAAGAAAGTTGCACACCCTGCAGCCCTCACCCTAAATTTTGCCTATAAAACCTCTTTCCTGAAAACCATTGGGGAGTTCGGGTTTTTTGAGCATGAGC